GGGGCTGGGGACCGCGCGAGGTGCTGGAGGCGCAGAGCGAGCCGGGTCCCTGCATCCCCCGCGAACTCCTACCGGTCGGGTCATGGGGAGCCCGGCGTCCTCCGATGCAGCCCCCCAAACACCCTCACGTTCGCGTGAGGGTGGGGACAAACAGCGGCCGGACTTGTGCCCTGGTCCCCGAGATCCACTAAGCTCCGGCCCTCTTCCGTCTGGGGGCAGGGACCCAGGTGGCCCGGAGCAGAGAGGGGTGAGGAACCCGGCTTTGGCCCCAGTGCGTGGCCCGGTTCCGTGCTGGCCGCTGTCTGCAGACTCACTGCGGAGCGCAGGCCTTGGGGAGAGCGCTCAGGGGCCTGGGCCCTGCTTCCTAGGACAGCCCCTTCCATCCGCACCCAGCCGGGCACGTGGGCTGAGTAAATTCGTAGACCCAGGACTTCTGCCCAAAAGGAAGGAGGGGACACTGGTCACCTCTGAGCTGGGATCGGGGTCACTCCTAGGCCTGGGGAGTTCCGGGCCCCTGCCAAGGGGCCGCTCTTGCACCCTGGCTCCTCGGGCTGTTCCCAGATTTCATTTGTGCTACTCTGCGGAAAGGGCGGGTTTCTGGGTGGGGAGTGTGGTGTCCAGGAGAATCTGCAGGAAGGGTGCACCCTAGAAACCCCAGAATTGCCGTACCCAGGGAGAAGCCCCGGGCTCTGCTGTTCCTTGGCCTTTCTTCCTCCCTTAAGACTGCCCCCTCCCCACCTGCTTGTGCTGTTATGTAATTAACCCAGCTGAGTCTCTCCGCCTGGCTGCTGGGTGTCCAGGGATGCCCAGGGAACCGAGTGGCCTGGAGGGACATACTGGGAGGGGGAAGTGGTACTTCCCCACATAAGTGTACAAGCACCTGTTGGGGAAAGGAATCCACGGGGCACAGAGCAGATCAGGGTCCTGGACTTAGCTGACAACTCAGCTGGCTATGAGGTCTTTACTTCTGAGTCTGTGAGGGTTTTGTTTTTGTTTTTCTTCAGTAAAATGTGAAGAATCTCCCTCTCACACAGTTAGTGTATGTGAGCCTATCCAAGGGTAGCTAGTGACCACCCCCTTAAGATTGCTAAGAGGTCCCTAGCAATGCAACTCTGGAAAACCTTAAATGAGCAGAGGCCCCTTGCGTGTGGCAGTAGCCACTGTTTATTGTCACCTACTCTGGGCCAGGTACCGTGCTTCACATGCTTAGCTTAACAGCAACGCCCTGTGAAGCTTCTTGCAGTGACCTGAAGTCACACACACTTCAGGTGAATGGCAGAGCTGGAAATCAACCCCTGGTGGTTCTCACTGCAAACCCTGCCCTTTATTTACTATCATGCATGCATACATACCCCTAGATCAAGTCCTTTGAGCCAGCACAGCCTGCAGGACATTCAGCGAGGAATTGCACCTACATGGAAAGAAATGCATCCACAGGAAAAGCATACATGCGTACATGCGTGGCCCCATCAAAATCCAGCAAACCTATCTGTCCTGAACCTATTTAGCAATCATTGGGGCCCCCTCCCAACAGAAAGATTTCCATCTTGTGTGACTGAAAAGTTTACTGGGATTTTCTCAGAAATAGGAACTATTGACCCCACTTTACGAGCACAGCTACGATTGGGCAAGTGATTTGCCCCCTGGCCCACTGATAGGGAACCTCCAAGCTGGGGTTTATAACCAAGCTGCAAAAGTCATGGAAACTGAAAAGCAAGGAGCTAATGAATTCCTATCAAAGTCCAACCCCTTAGCAGCTCTTTCCTAGGCACTGGTTCTAGCAAGGTCCTCCGAACTCCTAGAGATGCTGTCAGCTTGTGGAGAGTCACCATCTAGAACCACTAAACTTGAAGGCTGCAAATTGTAGAAAGAAGTGGCTGCCATTGCCAGCTGTGTGTGTGTGTGACTTTGGACACAGCCTGCTCTAAAGTGAGAATAGTAGTAGCATCTCCATTAGGGATATTGTGTTGACCAAAGAGAAATAACTGAGATAGGAGAATAGTAAGTGCTCTATGGTGCTGCTATCAGAGTCAACGTGGACATCTAGTACAGTGGTTCTCCAGTGAGAAATGAAGGGCAGCGTTTTGGTCATCCTGAGTAGGGCATTGTTGGCAGTTAGCTCCTGGGAGCTGCCATGGAAGTACAATGCCTTGCAATGTGGGGACAGTCCTGCACAAGAAAGAATCCTCTACCCACAATATGCCAGGAGTTCCTGCACTGAGATGCATTTACCTGCTCTCAGCTCTTCAGGATGAGACCAGGGCTTAGAGGAGCTGCTGTCTTGTTCCAGGCACAGCGGGAAAGCTGGGATTTGAACCCACGTTGAGTGCTCTTTCCACTGCTGTGCAGGCTGCCTCAGTTGGAGAGTCAGACTTGAAGAGTTAGATCTCAGTGCTAGTCAATGGGAATGTCCTGGCATAACAGCACCAAATTGGAAAAGGAAGGACAGAGGGAAAGTTTTGCATAAGTAGAGTCAGGATTCTGGGAAAGGGAAGGCATTCCAGGTGGCAGTGGGTAGGGCTGGGGATATAACTTAGTGGAACAGCGCCTGCCTGGCAAGCGCAAGGTCCTGAGTTTGATTCCCAGTACAAAACAACAACAACAACAAAAAAAAAAACTAGTGGCAGTGGGTGACAGCTTCAGCAAATCCCAGAGGCAGAAAAGGGCAGGGCATGTCTGGAGATAAGCCAGGGCACTAAGCCTACGTCTTGTTCCCCAGTCCAGGTGGAGGCCACAGAGGTCCCAGGGCAAGCAGAGGCAGCAATGATTGGTCCTGACGGTGGCTGAGCCCCCAGCCCCTGGAATATGCAGCCCGGGGGAGCCCCAGGCAAGGACGCGGTGGCGGAGTGGGGCGGGAGGCATGGTCTCCACCTACCGGGTGGCTGTGCTGGGGGCGCGAGGCGTGGGCAAGAGTGCCATCGTGCGCCAGTTCTTGTACAACGAGTTCAGCGACGTCTGCGTGCCCACCACCGCCCGCCGTCTCTACCTGCCTGCTGTGGTCATGAACGGCCATGTGCACGACCTCCAGATCCTAGACTTCCCACCCATCACCGCCTTCCCTGTCAACACGCTGCAGGTAGGTGGCCCTGGGGGCCAGGGGCCGTGAGGTGATGGGGTGGTAGAGTGAAGGAGGCTGGGCTCCAGTGGCTTCAGCTCTGGCCCTATTGCCAGGGCCCTACAGCTGGGTTTGGGAGCTCCGAGCTCCATGCTGCACCTTGGGCCTCCCTGCTTACAGCTATCCCGGGAAGCTGTTTCTTTGTGTGCTAGTTTATTCAACAAATATTTGATGAGTGCTTAATGTGTGCCAGCCCCTGCACTGGCCACTAACAAAGAATGGTCAGGAAAACAGATACAGAATTTGCTTTCAAGGAACTCATAGTCTGGTGAGAAAAGACTAACAGGCAATTATTAGATAGTGAGGGAAGTGCTGTGATTGGAGGAGATGAGCAAGATAAAGCTGCCCACTCAGGTGGGGTGGGAGAGTCACAGGATGTGATGTCTCAATTAAGTAGGTTTAGGCAGGCGAAGTAGGGAGAGGGGTAGGGAAAGACTCGCTGCCTGGGAAGACGGCTGTGCCTGGTACGGCCCTTGACACTCGCCTGGTCCTCAGCAGTAGAAGAACCTGCAGAATAGGCTGGGACCTGAGAATGTGTTCTCGGACTTAAATCAGACTTTTTGCCCAAGGTCCTCTGCTCCTAGGTGATGCCCTACCCCCTCCCCACCTCTGCGCCACCTGCTGAGCACCCTCCCTGCAGGGTTTGGATTTAAGTCCCTCCAGTGCCCTTGCTTATGGTGTACCTTCTGCCAGCCTGCTGGAACCAGGCCCTCCTCTCTCTCCCTCCAGCTTGAAAGGGTGTGGAGTGAAGGAGGGAGCTGAGCTTTAAGATGTGTTTGCTCACAAGGGAAGTCTCTGACAAGAGTGTACAGAGGTTTGCGGAGGAGCTCAGTGTGGAGACTCAGAAGGCAGAGAGAACAAGCCCTGCAGATACAGCAGTCTCAGGCTGCTATGGAGGCTAGCGCTGGCGGGAGCTCAGTGCTGTCTCAACAAGTCTGAGCAGCAGGGTTTTTGCCCAGCCTGCCAGAGACGCTTGTCTCTCCCAGCCCCGGTGCCTACGGTCAGCACCAAGACAAACGGCTGATCCGGGCGTCAGCCCCAGGAACAGTAAAAACATTGACTGTCCGTATAGGTAGATCTGCAGTCAGGTCCTTCTAATTCTCCTCTAATGGAGACTTTGATGGCAGCCTGAGTGTACACGCAAATCTGGCTCCAAGCCCACATGCTGAGCTTTGTTTCTCTTTTCACATTTGTATATTTATTTTTAATGTAATTTAAATTTGGAATCGGTAAGATACAATCAGTAAAAGTCCAAACTGGCATAGAGAAACCTTGACCCCATCCCTGCCCCTGCATGGTTACTCTCTGTAACTGTTCTCCTTGGCTTTTCATTCATACTTCCAGGGCTTCTTTACTCAAATAAGAAAATGTATTCTTATTCCACCCCCTTTTTACATAAGAATGAAAACCGTGCTGTTGGTTCCTTGTTTTTGTTTTGTTGGTGCTGAGGCTGAATCCAATGCCTTCCTTATGTTAAGCAGGTGCCCTGTAGCTTGGTTTTTTGTTTGTTATTGTAGGGTCTCACCATGTTTCCCAAAGTGGTCCTGAGCTCAAAATCCTCCTGTGTCAGCCTTTTGAACAGCCAGATCACAGCTGCATAAGACCATACATCCCCTCTTTTTAAGCATTATAACATGGGGATATTTATTATATCTAGATGGCTTCCTCATTTTTTTTTTTTCCTGTCTACACTATACTCCACTGAAGAGATATTCCCTGGATCCCTCCTTGTTGGACAAGTGAGTGGTTTCCCATCGTGGGCTGTTTTGAGCAAAGCCATGGAGAGCCTAAAACATAAGGTACTTTGTACATAGGTAGTTACCTCTGTGGAATTGATTCCTGGAAATGGTATGGCTGGGGCAAAGGGTAAATGCAACTGGAATTTTGGAGATGTCTCCAGATTGCCTCCTACATGTGTTGCACATATGCCCCTGCAGAGGATTTTTCTGAGAGCGCATTTCTCCGAAGCCTCACCATCAGCGTGTATCATCAAACTTTCGGATTTTTGACAACCTGAGAGGTGAATTATAATAGTATTAGTGTGGTCTTTACTTGCACTATCATTATGAATGAAGTGGGACGTTTTTCCATATGTCTGAGTGCCTTTGTGTTTCCTTTTCTTGTGTCATTTGCCCACTTTTCTATTGGACTTTTGACTGTTTCCTTCTGGATTGATCCTTAGACTCTAGGACATTTAAGATTTTACTCCTGAGGCACAGATAAGGGACTGTGAGCAAAGAAATACTCAAGAACTCTGATGGCTGCTATCTGAAAATAAAATAATGCGTTCTTCCGCAATGCCGGGTGAGAGGAGATCCAGCCCAAGAGTGACATTTGCTGGGCCCAGGATTTAGTTGTTGCTAGACCCAAGTTTCAAATTCAGCTGTTCCTTCCATAGCTAGGAAGAGACCATCCTAGGAAGAGACCATCCTCCCTGCCTCTGTCTGTCTCTCTCTCAGATTGAACCCAAAGCCTTGCTCATGTGAGGCAAGTGTTCTGCCACTAAAGTATATGGCTGCCCCTAAGCTATCTGGTCAACCCCTTCATTTCTGATCTTTTGAGGAATAAATTAGAACCCTGAAGAGAGCAAACTGGAAGGAAAACAACTTTCTTAATTCATCCCCTCAGTCAAGGGGTGAAGGGACAACCTAGCCAATCAGAAGTCTTCTGTCTCTCCCTTTTGGAAGTCCTCAGAGAGGAGTGAGTGGGAGGGGCCTGGAGGTCCCCTTGAGGAGGCAGTGTGTTGGGGAAGAGGTGGGGCTGTCACCCTCAAAGGCTGGCAGCTGAGAGTGGGAGGGAGCTTGCAGAGTAGGGACTTCTCCTCCCTCCCTCTTCTCCCAGCCTCCATATTTGTGTGGGACGGGAGAAGGAACCACATTCACATGCAGGCCTGCACTCCCAGCAGTCACTGTGTCTCACAGAATATATCTTCCTTGACCTGGGAGAAAACCAGCTTATGGTACCCTACAGTTTTAGATTTGTCCTCAGCATCCTTCCCCTACATCAAAAAGTAAAACCTCAGCACAAAGAAAAGATGCCACATCATCTCCTTGGGGAATCCACTGCAGCATCTTCTGAGCCTTTGAGTTGGAAGTGCTATTCTGAAGTTGAACTTCACTTTTCATGATTGTCATCAAAATCTCTTCCCTTAGTCGGGTGTGGTGGTGCATGTCTGTAATCCCAGCAGTGGGGAGGCTGAGGCAGGAGAATGTTGCAATTTTGAGACCAGCCTGGGCTACAAAGTGAGCTCAAGGCCAGCTTGCACAGCATAGCGAGACCCTGTCTCAAAAAGACAAAAAAAAAAAAAATCTGCTCCTTCGTATTCCTTCCTTGAGAGGAAGAACCAGTGAAAGCCCTCCTTTGTGGCTGACCCTAGCCACCACTGAACTCCAGTTGTGACAGGAGACATACCTCCACCTCCTTCTAGTATGTCTTCCCCCCATTCCCTTCCTTCCTTCCTTGCTTCCTTCCTTCCCTCTCTTCCTCCTCCTCCTCCCTTTCTTCCTCCCCTCCCCTCTTCTGTCTGTCTGTCTGTCTCTCTCTCTCTGCACTAGGGATTAGACCCAGAACCTTACACGTACAAGGCCTGTGCTCTGTCACTGATTTACACCTCCCTCCTAGTCTTTGTGTGGGCCCTTGAGAAAGAAGACCCTGGTTCCCTTTGCTTTTAAAAGCCTCTCTGCCTACCTAACTTCTTCAGGGGCCCCCCTCTTTTTAGCATACTGGCTGCCTGAAACTCCTTACAATTGCATCTACTGGCAGGTTAATTAAGTAATCTCTTCAGGAACTTTCTCTGTAGCACATTCAGCATTTCTAGAGGCCTACTCATTTGGAACTACAGTGCCTCCCTAAGAAGTTCCCTCAAACTGACATTCAAGAAGTTCCCTCTCCTGAAGCTGCCCTGGGGTTCTGTTCTGCCCCTCAGCCACACCACCCCCTTATGCATCCAGCCTCTATCTTTTTCCCTGCAGGTTTTCTACTTCTTCACCCTGATGGCAAGAGAGAAGGATACACACAAAGGGGCACATCAGGTAGCAACCTAAGAGCAGTGTTAGGTCAGGAGTTGCATTGATCCCAGCTTGGCTTGTGTGGGATTCAGCACCACGGAAAGTTCACTACCCTAGGAAGTGTGCTTAATAAAACTTGGCAGTGCTGGGGCTGGGGATTTAGCTCAGCGGCAAAAGCGCCTGCCTGGCAAGCGCAAAGTCGTGAGTTCGGTTCCTGGTACCGGAGAAAAAAAACAAAAAAACAAACAAAAAAAAAACTTGGCAGTGCTACCTTAGGTACAGAACAGAATAGGGAAGCGAAACATGGTGGCACACACCTGTAATCCCACCACTCCGGAAGGCAAAGGCAGGGAAATCACAAGTTCAAGCCCAGCCTGGGCAACTTAGAGACTTAGTGAAACCGTGTCTCAAAATTTAAAACTAAAAAAGGGCTGGGGTTGTTCTTTGCAAAGGTCCTAGGTTTTAAAAGAGAGAAAAAGGAGGGGCTGGGGATTTAGCTCAGCGGCAAAGCGCCTGCCTGGCAAGTACAAGGTCGTGAGTTCAGTTCCCGGTACCGGAGAAAAAAAAAAAAAAAAAAAAAAAGAAAAAGGAGTATGTAAAATGAACAAGACTAGCTTTGGCCCTCTTGAGAGCTCACAATAGGTGTGGAAAACTGGAACTGGAATAGCTTTAACCAAGGTATAATTGAATGGCTGTTAGAACACGGGAGATGAAGGGAGAGGTTCTCTGCTTGCCAGAAAGGTGGCAAATCAGGAAGACTCCTCAGCTGAGCATTGGAGACAGAGAAGATTTCAACAGGTTCGACAACTAGTTCAAGGCTAGGATCCTAGAGGCACTTAATAAATGTACTAGTTGATGGATGAGAGGACAAAATGTCCCTAGACAGATCTAATGCCTACATACACACAGGATAGTGCCGTGGCCCTGGAGGTCAGTTAACATGACCTGCCATCCTGACTGGGGGAAAGGAGGCTGTGGCACCGAGCACCTCCATTCCTGCAGGACCCGGCCTCCTGGGCATGGGGGGCAGGTGTGGAAGACTTCGGCTGCAGCAGCAGGTGACGAGAGCACTCTTAGCTGGAGGTGGGGAGACCGTTGTGGCTGCTCTGACTCTGGTGTTGGCTGTGGGTGTTGCAGGAGTGGGCAGATGCCTGCTGCAGGGGACTCCGGAGCGTCCACGCCTACATCCTGGTCTATGACATCTGCTGCTTTGACAGCTTTGAGTACGTCAAGACCATCCGCCAGCAGATCCTGGAGACAAGGTGAGGGGCTGTGATCATCCATTGCCACCTCTGCGAATCTTCCAATGCTATCCTGCCCCTGAGGAAGTGGGACAGTGGGCAGAAATATGTGTGCCCTCTGTTTCCCACACATACTCTGAAACGTGCACACATTCATATTTTTCTGTCCTCACTTCTGTTGACTCATTTTGGGACAAGGTTGCTAGGGCTAGTTAACATGTAGGCCTCAGTTTCCTCATCTGTAAAACAGGAACAACACTACCCATTTTGGGTCAGTTTTCCTGATCAGAGAATGTTAAGTCACACCAAGGGCTTAGGGCTGCACCTGGAACAGAACACAGAGTAGTAGAATCCATTGGCTGTAAGACTGGCCAAGTGCTGAGATTCTTGCCTTACCCCCGCAGGGTGATTGGCACCTCGGAGACGCCCATCATCATTGTGGGCAACAAGCGAGACCTGCAGCGCGGACGCGTGATCCCGCGCTGGAACGTGTCGCACTTGGTGCGCAAGACCTGGAAGTGTGGCTACGTGGAGTGCTCGGCCAAGTACAACTGGCATATCCTGCTGCTCTTCAGCGAGCTGCTCAAGAGTGTCGGCTGCGCCCGCTGCAAACACGTGCACGCCGCCCTGCGCTTCCAAGGCGCGCTGCGCCGCAACCGCTGCGCCATCATGTGAGGCCGGGGCGCCCTCCTCTGCCACCCGGCTGAAGCCTGGGGCCCAGCGAAGGGCAGGGCCAGGCGGGCAAGGAGCCTGCAGAAATCGAACTCATGGTCCGGGCCTGGAACGCCCCCGCAGCCCCGCACCTCCACCGAAAGGCGAGGGCGAGAGGGAGCCTCCGAGGAACTCCTCCGCCCTCCGCTTCTCACGCGTTTGTCTTCCTGGGACAACCACCTTCACGGCTGTAGCTAGCGTAGTGCCCGGCCCGGCCCGAGCCGGTGCCACATCCCTTTGGGATTGGGGGCGAGCGTGTGAAATGGGGGGTGGGGTGAGGAGGTGCTGCTGCCTTGGCCGGGCCCCCACCGGTCCTCCCCGGAGTGTGTCTGTCTTTGTCCAGTGTCCTCCTTTTCCCGTGTCTGTCTGCCCAACGTCTGTTAGTTCTCCCTCGTCTTATCCACCCTCCGGCCTCCCTCCCCACCCCCAGCTCCGCTCACAGGGCTCTCATTTCGTTCATCTCCTTGTCACAGATCCTGGCAGCTTTTGATGCCAGGCCATCTGGCCGTCAGCGCCACTGGCACAGGGCAGAGAGATGCAGGTGGCCCACGGACCGCAATCAAGAGGTCTAAAGGTTGAGGTCCCAGATCAGTCAGGGGGAGAAGGCTGAGCTCTCCTGTTCCCAGGGAGACCTCCCTGCCCAACAGCCCCCAGAGACACAACAACCTACCTTCCAGCCTTAACTCGATGGTCCACCCCTGCCAGGTGCCCCCCACCCCCTTCCTGACCCCAAAGCCAGATCACCCCCTGGGTTAAAACTTGTTTTAATAGTGTGGGGAGGGAATTCCCCCAAAGGATAGATTCCTTCCCATGATGCCAGGTTCCAGTCCTCTATACCTCCTGCACCAGGTGATCTGCCAGATTGGGGGATGTAGAGTCCTGGGGTCTGTTGGTTGTGGGCAGGGTGGTGCCCAGGAAGGGGTCAGGTTGTGCCAGTGACGATTCTGCCTCCCTATCCCACCCCACTCTGATTACCCCCAAATTCTGCCTGCCTCCGATCTCAGGGTACCCTGATTCTTCTGGGTAGGAGCCGGGAGAAGAATTACGGGGATCCCTGTGCCTGGAGGAGACATGCCTGCATCCCCACCTGTTGGTGGAGGCCCTCAGGATCTGACACCCCGTGTCCCGACACCAGTTGGCCCTATGCCCTAACTCACTCCGCCCCATTTTCTCCGGCTGCCTGGCCGGGTTTCTACCTCTCGTCACCGGAGCTGATCACTGTCAGTTTTGTACCGATTTAGAAATAACAATAATAATGATTCTAGGAAATGCCCCGAGGGGTTAATGGGGGGGCTTGGGGAGAGAGAGAGAGAAAGAAATGGTGCCATGTCCCTTGCCCCTGGCCAAAGAGAGTTCGTTTTGAGGCTGAGCTCTTGGCCCTGGCCCAGTGGGGGGATATGAGGGACCCTTGGTTAAAGGGGAAGGGCACATAGAGCAATCCAGCTTCTGCCAGCTTAGCCAGGGCTGCAGCACATAGGCCAGGAAATCAGGTAGCCCAGAATGCTGATGGAGAAGAGGCTGGGGGAAGGTCATGGGTGGGGAATTTATCATTAAGATCCAGTGTGGGGGGAATCTCTGATTCTCCTTTGTGCTTCCCCCACCGATCTCCACTCCCTCCCCCCACCGGGGGCAGCACAGCCCTACAGCAGCTGCCTTGACCTTGGGCAGACCATTGTACTGGGTTTTAGTCCCTGCTGTGCTGCATGACTTTGGGCAAGTGACTTGCCCTCTCTGAGCCTCCCTCTGAAACAGAGGTGGCGGCTCCCCTCCCCCACACTTCAGAGAGTGGCCAGGAGGGTAAGGAAGAGGGCTGCCCACTCGTCTTCGCACCCTTACTCCCTGGTTCACCAGACGGATGGGGGACCGATGGCAGCGTCTCATATCCTCTTACTCCCAACTCTGAGGCACCTGAGGTGAAGTGGGGGCCCAGACTTCTGGCTGCCCCTGTGGGAACCATGGAATGTACTCCCAAAGCCCCCCACTTACAGCCCTGCGCTTCACCCCAGGTCGTGGATTTCAGGCCCCTCCACACCCATTCTGAGTCTCTGTCCTTCCCCACCCCCCACCAGGGTTTCCCACCACAGGGTCTGGAAGTGTGTGTGATGCCCATTAGGCTGTTACTGGAAGTCAGATTAAACATCAGGGAGTGTTTCCCTCGTTTCTGTACCGAGGTGTTGGCTCTGTTCCGAATAGAAGAAGGGGACGGGTCCCTGCTGTGCCTGCCTGCTGAGCTGTGTGCGGCAGGGGGGCGATGATGAAGTGGTTGGCAGTCCCAAAGCTCAGGTCAGTGAGATCAAAGGAAAGGAGTTCGGAGGCAGATGTCCTTTCCACCCAATTCCAAACCAGGAGGAAGCATAATTTTCCCCTTGCTGTTCTTTCTGCAAACTTTATAACAGGCCCCAATCCCAGCCTCTCCCTCATCTTCTCCCTGCACAGGGTTGAGACCCTGTGGCCTCTCAGGCATAGCTTCTGGAACACTGATATGTTGGAAATACTCTTAGCCATCTGAATGTGCTGGGTTCCCAAGGCGCGTGGCAAAGCTTTGAAGTCCTTGACAAGGTGGCCTGCAGGAGCTTGTGTGTTGGGCAGTTCGTGTCTCTGTCCATGGTTCTGAGCCGCCAGCCACCTCCAGGAAAGAGAAGCCTGTCTGGAAGGTTGGCAGTCTCTGGAGAGGAGGCCTCCTCGGCCTGGCAACTCCCTCCAGTGAGATAATACTTGAGGCTAAACTTTCCTCCACCTCCACAGTCCTAGGGTTGGGGACCTCAAACGCTGGGGCTCCAGTACAGACTCATGTGTTTGAGGACATAGAGTTGTGGGAACAGATGGCCCTGGTGAGAGGCTAGGAGTTGGGGGAACTTTTCTATGGAAATACATTGCCATATAGAGTCGCCCCATGCACTTGGGCTAATGCTGGAATTGGGATGGGAGTGATTGGCTGTCCCTTTGCTCCGTGGAACAGATTGAGTTTATACTTGTCTTTGCATGCCCTCCTGGCCAGCCTCCTCTACTGAGATGAGAGAACCTCCCTTCTGCTCTTGCTTACACAGGCATCCATTTTGCTTTCCTCCTTCCCCTCCTGCAGGCTCCTCAGACCCAGGATTCCTCCGAGGGGAGCTGGGCCTGATCATGTTGCTGAGGGCCCCAGCCCTCCAAAGGCTGGGGACTCTTCTCCACTGGAGCTGGTGGCTCTTTCTTCTTTTTGTCTTCCTCTTCTCTTGCTGAAGCTCTGCCCACCTGGGATACTTCTCCTCTCTTGCCCAGGGCAGCTCTCAATGGCCTCTCCCTGGGGGGTGCCCTGGTTGGGCCCAGGCAGAGGTAGGCCAGTGGCTTGGGGATTCGTGAAGGATGCTTCTCAGGTCTGTGGTCTCTCCGGGGCCGGATCCTGGGCCTCAGCTTCAGCTTGTAGATGGAAGGGACCCTCTTGGGCTTTCGGAGTGTTCTCCTCCCTTTGCCCAGACATCCCTTGGCTTTGTCAGAACTTGGGCCTGAGGGCAAAGATGTGGGAACCTCAGGACTAGCAGACAGCTTAGGGGCTGAGCGGTCCTGCCCTCCTGGAAGTGAGACCCTCCACATCTTGGTGTCTTTAGCGCTAAGGCTTGCCTTTGTCAGTGGCCCACTCTGCCTGGCTCCTGGCTTCCCTTTTGTGCTTTGTGGGCCTGCAGTAACAGCCGGCTGAGGGGAGACTGCAGGGGACACGCGCCAGGCTCCCAGGTCCACTTTAACGAGGGGTGGGGGAACCTGAGCCAGTTCCTGGATGACTTGGTCATAAGGACCCCCAGGCTCCAGCCACTGTCCACGCAGGCTGGGGACATAGACTCCACTTCGAGGGACGACTGGAGACTCTGCGCTCTGGGAGTGGGCACCCCTCACCCTGAGCCTCTTCATGTTGATCACAATCTCCCCCTCCAGGCTGTGGTAGACGGTTTTCTCCTTGGTCCTGTCCCGGGGCAGGGGAGAACCTCTCCCCTTCTGTTCCTGTGGGACCAGGTCCTGGGGCTCTCCAGCCTCTTCAGCCTGAGTGTCTGCCTGGGTGTCTGCCTGCTGGTCCCCCTGCCTCCTTCCTTCCTCAGAGCTGTCATACCTGCACCCAGCCAAGGCTCCTGTGACAGCCTGTAACGGGCTGGGACCTCTGCTCAGCTCTGCTGCGAGTCTTGCACTTACAGTACCTGGAAAGCTTCTTCCTGGAGTGGGAGGGCGAGCAGGGGACACCCAGATGGGGACCTTAGTGAGCCCTTTGACAGGGGATGGAGAACGGATAGATGCTGACTCCCTGAGCTGGAGGGATGCACCCTCAGCCTCACCCCGGGGTGGCAGCACAAGGCTCAGGGGCTTGGCTGGGCTAGAGGAACGAGGCAGGGGAGATGGTCCTCTTGCTGATGTCCCTTTGGTGATGGCTTGAGGAGCTTGAGGTCTCTGAGGAGTGGCAGCCCTGGCATGGGTTCCTCGGCTGGCAGTCCCATGAACCCAAGCTGCGGGAGTCTTTCCCCTAGCGAGTTCCCTGGGGTGTCTGATCCCTCTCTTTCCTGATGGGGTGCACTGTAGGTCTTGGTTCCTAGGAGTGCATGAGAACTGGGGACTGGGTGGGCTGTTGCCAGCTGCCAGCTGCCTCTCAGATGAAGTAAGAAGCCTTTCCTGGGACCTGAAAAAGGAAAGGAAGAATCACAGTCTGGAAAAGGAGACTGACAGGGCTGCCACGGTCATGGAGAGCGTAACCTGGCCCTGGGAGGGGAGGGCTTTTCCCCCACCTGAACGCCACGGGGGCTGTAAACTCCTCCCACGGCAGTCACCGTTCAAGTCTCCTCTCCCTTGTTCCCCGAGTAGCAGACAGAAGGAGTGGAAGGAAACCTGGTCCAGGACTGGGGTGACTTCAGGTCCTGTGAGTGATGATCCCAGACCAGAGGTCTGACAGTCAGTGGTCACTTGTCTTGTGAGGAGGTCTTAGTCCCAGCTCTACCATGAAATGGCAGAAGGATTGGGCATGTGTGTTCCCTTCGCGTGCCTCAGCCTCTCGTGTATGAGCTGAGTCGGCATATTAGATGATTCCAAAGCACTGGCATGTTCTGAGCACCTGAGATTTGCTAGGGTACAGGCACTGCTCCCTTTATCTTGGGGTGGGGGGATTCCCTCTGAGAGTAGGGACTCCAAAGGAGAAAGAAGTTGGGGTTCCGTGTACCTTCGAAATGGAACCATCGGTCTGAGGACCGCAGCCCCTGCTCCCTGTTCGCTGCAGGGCCTGGGGGAGGAGGAGGAGGAGGGAGGTCTCAGCCTTCGGCCTGCAGCAGTATATATCTTCCAGTCCACGGGGGGAAGCGGGCTCTGCGAGCGGCTGATGGTCATTGTAGGCTGGGGCAGAGAGGGTCCATCCTGCAGCCTCACTTCGTGCTGCGCCGGTGGAGCTGGAGGCTTCAGGAAGCCGACTGGTTTGTGTGCTACCAACATAGTCCCCCAGAGAAAGGAGAGGGGAACGGGTTCAAATCCTGCTGGGGTTCATTGTTCTCCTCTCCCAGCTGTCCCATACCCCCCGTCCCACTTTAAAGACAGTGGTGACTACAGTGGCGGCACCAATGTTTCTTCCTCACAGGGGAGTGGGGGGGGTGATTTAGTCAGAGGGTCCACCTGAGGGACTTGTTAAAGCTATATCCATACTGCTGGTTCCACAGCTCTTACTTAGATTGTATGATTATTTGGGATGTCTCAAAGTGCTGACAGAGACCACAGAAGGAATAAATACCTTCCCAAGTCACGCTTGGTGCCGTCACTGTGGACACATCAGCCACACCTAAGCTCCGCGGAAATGCACCCTGAAAAGTGCTGGTTCTGCATGTGCTGTCCACCCTCTTGTGGCTGGAGTTAGTACTGCACACGCCTGCTCCGCTACAGGGTCTCACTCCCCTCTCCTTCCCCCACCCCGAGCCCTCACACACCTCCCGCACCTGGAGATGGGTCCCGCCTCCCACCTCTGCTGCTGGTCTCCCGACCCGGAGTTATGCTTCTGCAGCCAACCCTACAGGGAGGGGAGTCTCAGGGGACTTACAGAGTGATGTGCACCGGCAGGGGTCATGTTTGTCCAGATAATGGCCAAGCGTGTCCCAGCCGCCCCCCACACGCACCATCACGTGCTTCCGGAGGATCTGAGGGGCAAGGATGAGGTTGAGGGCAGGCTCAAAAATGTCCCCTGTTCCTGGGCCACCTTGCAGGCTTGTGGCACACTCAGGCGTACACCCATCCATGCACCCATGCATACGCAGGTACTCCCTTGTACGTGTGTGTGGTTGGGAGCAGGTATATTTTGCAGTCTCGTCTCATGAGTTGCAACCCATCTTGTCACGAGTGAGGACCAAATGCACAAGCATTAGGGTTTACACCTGCCCATCCTTACATCTGTAATGTGGCCCGAATGCCTCGGCTTTACCTCTGTGGTGTATGTAGCAGAGCTTAACCCATCCCACACAATGTGGGGCCAGGTCACAGAGTCTCTCCAGGTTTCATTTCCTCAGGGGAAAGTGGGGCCATAATTCCTGTGCCTACCTACACCATAAGGCTGTTGCCTCAGGGCCTGGGAGGGGCCCCAGGTTGTTGGCAGTGCTCAAAAGTGTGCCTTGTACTCAGGGAAAAGGTATGGGTCTGTCCCCAACTGCTGGCCGTGGCTCGGCATGCAGACCACTGCTGGTGAGCAACCAGGTATTGGAGGGCGGGGCTGGAGGCACATCTTAGTCCTCTACTGCTGCTTGCTCCGCAGAATATACTGGGAAGGGGCTGGGGATTGAGCTCAGCGGCACAGCGCCTGCCTGGCAGGCGCAAGGTTGTGAGTTCGATTCCTGGTACCGGAAGAAAAACAAAAAAACAGACAGAATATACTGGGAGTCTGAGGGGCGGGGGCTGCACACTGAACACAGACTTGGGGTTCTCAGGCCCCTTGCTCTGACTAAGCTTGTGGGTAGAGTGGAATGGGAAGATAAGGGTACATCCTCTGTTCCCCAATTCTACCTGAAGACACCCTCTAGACTTAGTACGATGGAAGCGGTGGAAGGTGGCGGCTCTGGACACCCCAGTGGGAGGAGAGGACAGGCCAGGATTCTCCTGGACATCTCCAAGGGAGAGAAGGCGAGCCCTAAGGCCTGATAGCTTGGGGTGTATGGTAATTTCCTGTCCTTGCCCTTAGACGTGGGCAAGTTCTCATGGAAACGAACCTGGCTGTGCTGAGCCTGGGCATGGCCCTCTACCCCCAGGCACACTTACCCTGATGAAGATGAGGGTGTTGGAGTCCCCCACTCGGTACTTCCCCTCAGACACCTTGACCATGGAGAACTGCACTGGGCATGTACAGTGGCTCACTAGGTTCTGCACCTGCAGGAAGCGGGCAGAGGGCTCAGCCTTCCCCTCTGTCTGGGCACCCAAGGTTCCCCCAGTGCTGGGTCAAGCTCAGTGGGGGCCTACCTGCCTCCAGAGCCACCCCTGAGCTCGCTGCTGAGGTCAGGGCTGGGGGCTGGGAAGCAAGCAGAAAGCTGAGAAGTCTTTAAATAAGCAGGTGAGAGCAAACTATGGCCCGACGCCTTCGCGGGTCAGCTGCCAGAGCCGTGGAGCAGAATGGCTAGGCGGTGGACTACAGAGGCTGCCAAGCTCGAGTCGGAGTCCTGTCTCCACACACAGGCCTTCAGCTAAAAGAGACCTCCCTGTGCCCTCTTTCCTCAGGTGGTAGAATTAGGGTCAAGCATGACAAGAGCAACTGCCTAGGAAGCGCCCTCTCTCTGCAGACATGCTCCAGTGCACTTCGCATGTTCACTTAATACAGCAGTGCCTACACGACAGGGACAGGAGCACTGAAGGAACCCAGTCACAGAGAGGTGAAATACTTTGCTCAAGGTCACCCAGTGGCGCAGCCGTGGGGCTCAGCCTTGAGCCCAGGTGTCAGGGAGGGTGGAGCATCACTGTTCTGCACACCCGTCCCTCTGGAGGCTCAGGGACAGAGTGCGGTGTCTGAAGGTAATTAGAGGCATAGCCGTTGCTCCCTGTGGTTAGAGTTGGGGCTCAGAGGGAAGCATGAGCCGCTCAGACCCACAGGGCGGGGACTGTGGCGCAAGCAGGGGTGGTTCAGAGGGGCCTGGGTGGGATGGAGTGGGGGAGAGGAGGGCAGCATGAAGGGTCTTGGGCCTGAGGGCGCGTGCTGTGCCTCACCATCTGGTCCAGGTTCTGGAAGTGGCAGGGCCGGCGAATGGGGGGTGCGGGCCGCGGGGGGTCTGGCAGGGGCAGGGCCAGGTCCTGGCGCAGCTCCTCCTCGATCTCCTCCTCCAGCTGCACCAGGGTGGGCGCCGCCACGCCGAAGCGCCAGGCGCGGCGGCCCAGCTCCAGCAAGCACAGCACCACGTTCTTCACGTTCCTGCGCTGCACCAAGTCCTCGGTCTCGAACATCAGCACCTCTGGCACGGGCCGGGGAGAGGGGTGCAGAAGGCCTGAGTCCCCTGCTGAGCTCCCGGGGAGCCCTGGGGGCGTCCTGAGACCCGGTAGGAGACGAGATTCGGGTCTCAGGATCTCGGGGTCCAGGAAGCCCCCGGAAGGGGTCCGGCAGGGCTTGCTCAGGGGCTGGGGGTGAAGACACCATCCTCTCTCGAGAGGCCACACAGCGAAGCAGAGGAACGGTGGGCTGCACTGCGGCTGCGGGCTGCGGGCTGAGGGCGGTGGAGAGAAGGGTGAGGGGCGCACCACCTGCCCTCCTCCCGCCTGGCGGCCAGGAGCAGGAAGCAATGCGCTCTGGTTTCCACCGAGGCCCCTCAGCGTCCTGCAGACTCCTGACTCCCCCCCGGGCCCAGGCAGAACCAGGCAGAGCTGAGTCCAGGCTCCGGTCCCCTCCCACTGACCAGCAGTTTCCTCTGCTCTAATGGGCATGTTGTCTTTTTCGTGGAGTCATTGTCAGGATTTGATAAGCTAATAATTGTTAGTACTTTTAGATAATGTCTGGTACAGCAAAAGCGCTCCATGAAACACCAGCTTTTTTTCTTTTCTTTTTCTTTCATTCTTGATACTAGGAATTGATTGAATCCAGGGCCTTTGCAGTAAACTACATCTCTAGCCCTTATTCATTCATTTATTTGTATTTTGTTTTTTAGCGACAGGGTCTGTCTTTGTAGTGCAAGCTGGTCTTGAGCTCACTGTGTAGCCCAGGCTGGCCTTGAACTCACAGAGGATCTGCCTGCCTCAGCCTCCCAGGTGCTGTGATTACAGGCATACATGGCTACAACTGGCTCCTATTTATTTATTTTTAAATTTTGAGACAGGGTCTCACTAAATTGCCCAGGCTGGGCTTGAACTTTCAATCCTCCTCCTTCAGCCTCTGAGCACTGGGATTACAGCCATGCACGACATACCTGGCTAAAATACCAGCACCTACCTGGCGCACACTAAGCAGGAGTTCTACCACTGAGCTACACTCTCAGCCCAAGCCTTCCAACCCAGCCCCTCACTGCCACCAGTCAGTAGCCCACCTGCTTCGGCACCTGCTTCCCCCATCACCTCTGGCCCGGTGGATGGTACGACATCCAGCCTCATCCCCTTCCTGAGTTCAAGGCCAGCCAGATAAGGGATCCTGACAGGTCACTCCCCTGAGTCCTACAAGCCCTGGCATGATTGTGCCCTGCCCTAAGGTCATTCCTTCTGCCTCCTCTGGCATCTCATCCCACACCAGCCCTGAGGACTCACCACCCCCAGCTTTACTCAGTCATCAAACACAGGGCTTAGGGGGCTGGGGATTTAGCTCAGTGGCACAGCGCCTGCCTGGTAAGGTAAGGTTGTGAGTTCGATTCCTGGTACCGGAAAAAACAAAACAAAACACAGGGCTTTTCTATAATCCCAGCACTCAGGAGGCTGAGACAGGAGGATCGCTGCAAGTTGAAGACCAGCCTGGGCTACAAAGTGAGCTCAAGGCCAGCCTGAACTGCATAGCGAGACCCTGTCTCAAAGAGACAAAAGAAAAAGAAAAGATTTTGCCCCAGTAGCCTTCCTTGGCTCCTGCTTATCCATCATCAAGTTGCTGATTCCTCCTGTGGCTCCCCAGCACAGGCACAGAGACTCTGAGCGCTTCTCATCCTGGGTTGTACTTTACGTCTCTACTGTCTCTCTGTCTTGCTAGACCATGCATGTCTTGGGCACTGGGTCTTGGTCCTTAGTGACTAGCATGGTCTTCAACATAGAAGGGATACTTTATATGTTTGTTGAGTGAATCATCAAGAAACATTTATCAAACATCAATGCATATTTACTGAGGATTTGTATGATAGGGAAACTGAGGCATGAAAAGAGATGAACTGGCCCAAAGCCAAATCTGGAAGAAACACCTAAGTTCCTGAACCCCAGATCTACCCTGAACATCAGAAAGGGGATGGGTACCCCGGAAGATAAGAGTCTGAACTGGGTGTGGTGGCACACACCTATAATCCCAGTACTCGGGAGGTTGAGGCAGGAGGATGGCTGATAATTCAAGACTAGCCTAGGCTCTATAGTGAGTTCAAGGCCAACCTGAGCTGCATACTGAAACCCTGTTTCAAAAAGAGAAAAGAAAGGTAAGTGTCTGGGATAGGTGGTTACCTTGAATGCCCATCTCCTTTCGACACCACTGGATGAAGTTGGAGACGTTGTCCCTGGCCTGGAAGGTTCCCGGCTGGGCAGCCCCATTGCAGGAAACCCTGGCCCGAGGCATGGGAAGCCTTTGGGCTTGGGCAGGTGCCTCTGCCAGGAAGGCCAGCGCAGCCTCGGTGACCATGTTGGCATGTTGGCACAGCACCAGGCCCGTGTCCAGCACCTGCAGGAAGTTGGCTGCGTCGATGTCCAGCCCGTAGAGATCCCGAAGCCACTCGGCCAGGTCTTCCTTCATGGCCTCCAGGTACTGCTCGCTGGACTTGAAGGCACGGATGCTGCGCACCGGAGGCCCCAGGGCCCCACGTCTCTTCCTGCGTCCTGGGAGCTGGGACATGGCCGGGCTGCAGCAGGGAGGGATGTGGGCGCCTCTTCTGTCCCACTCCTGCCTCTTTACTTGTTCCTTGAGTCTTAGCCCAGCCCTTTCTGATTCAGAGCTTTCTTGTCCACTCTAGAAGAGCCCGGGACTCCTGGCTCTGCGGCTGCTTGCTCCGCTTCAGTCTCCAGGCCAGGTCAGGGCCTGCCCCGCCCCCCACATTCCTCAGTCAGAACCGGCTCTGTTAGGTGGCCGTGTGGCGACCTCACATTCCCACTGCCCGGTTGAACTTAGAGATCAGCACCTCCCAGCCAAGGTGGAGGGGAGGACACTCCTTCTGCCCCCAGGGGTGGACAAGTCAGACGCCGCTCCCACCTGCTGCTACCACCAGCCGGATTGCCTGGCATGGCTGCAGCCTCCCTACTCTGCTTTCCTCTCCTCTCCTTGGAGACAGCGGCTGCTACAAACACTCCTTGTTAACCCTTGCAACAGGCGCACTGCCCTGCCCAGCCGGCCCTGGAGGGAGGAAGCAGAGAGGCTGGGCTGGCTTCTCTCACCAGCGGATCTCCGCTGCAGGGGACCTGGGGGAGTGAGAGGAGGACAGGGGTAGGGGTTGCTGTAGCCTAGGGGTTTAGAGTCCAAAGACAGGAGTTTTGCCCTAAATCCCCACATGAATAGCAAAGACACCCCAGCCTCTCCGAGCTTTAGTTTCTTGACTGTGAAAGGGGAATGATAGATACTGTCTGCCCGTCAGGGGTTGTGAGGAATAACGGAGTAGTGTATGGGAAAGTGTCTGGCTGTCAGAGCACAGAAGCACAGTCTGGGTGGTGCTGGTCTCAGTGATTCTCCCCATGGCAGCCCTGTCTATGCACCTACTGTCTCTGGAGAACCTGCCCTCCCCTGCTCTGGCCGTGTGATTCTTCTAAACAGGCTGCCCATCATGGTACCTCACCCCGTAGGCCACAACAATGCATTCATTCAAGATTTCTTGAGTACCTAATATATGCCAGGCACCACTGTAGCCCTGAGGATGCAGATACTCAAAAAGACCAGGTCCCCGTCCTCATGGAAGCTACTTGCAGTTACTGGATCATGGCTGCCAGATAAACACCTCCAGAGTAAGTCTGATAGCGATAAGTATCAGGGAAAAGAATAAAGACATCAAGGAGCTGCAGGTATGTATGTGTCATTTTGCAAAAGGTGACCAGGGCAGTCCTGCTGAGAAGGTGCTATCTGAGCAGAGACTTGAGAAAGATGAGGAAATGAACACTGCAGCCCTCTGGAGAAAGAACACTCAGGCAGAGGGAATGGCTGGTGCAAAACCTCTGAGGCAGGAGGCTACTGGCCATAGTCTAAAAATAGCAAAGACAGCCGGGTGTGGTGGTGCACCCTGGTAATCCCAGTACTTGGGAGGCTGAGGCAGGAGGATCACTATGAGTTCCAGAGCAGCCTGGGCTACACAGTGAGCTCAAGACCAGCCTGAACTGCATAGCAAGACCTTGTCTCAAAAAGACAAAAAAAAAAAAAAAAAAGCAAAGAGGAAGGATATGAGGCCAAGAAGAAATGGGGCGCCAGGTCATGCAGAACCCTGTTGACAACTCCAGAGACTTTGGCTTTTTCTCCGTGTGACATGCGTTTTGGGGAGAGGAAGAATGCGTTCTAACTCAGGCTGCTGCATAGAGAAGGAGCACAGAACCAAGAAGGGTGGAAAACACTCAGGCTACTGCTGTCATCTAAGGAAGCGCAATAGTGGTGTAGACCAAGTGGTGCTGATGGAGGTGGTAACAAGTGGTCACATTCCATGTAACTTCTGAAGAGTCCATAGGATTGACTCCAAATGGAGTCTCGGCCCTGGCACAGCTGAAACTTTAGGCTAAATAATTCAGCCATTGCTAAAATATCCCTGCATCACCAAATCTCCCCTGGGGGCACCTCTCCCTGACCTACCAGTCTAAGAGGTGAGTGTGAGACTCCAGCTGCCCAAACAGAGCCTTTCCTGGCATCTTTTGAACTGGAGCTAGAAGGGCAGGTTCTTTTTTCCCAGTCTAAGATTTTAGGGACACCGATCAGGCACCATGCTCCCAGCACTTGGAGAAAGCCCTTCTGCTATGGGCAGGTATGAAGCTGGCACACAAGAGCACAGGGTTGGAGAGAAAGAGGAACTGAGGAGTTTGCTCACGGTGTCCATGACCGGGAATAACCCTCAGCAGCAGCCTCCTCACTGAATTGTTCCTGTGAAACGTTTTTTGCAAAAGGTCAGATAGCTTTTACATTTGTATGGTAGAGCTGGGATCTGAACCCAGTCTGTAAGGGCCAAAGCCACCATCTACTCCCTTTTGATGCCCACCCCGGGGGAAGGTAGGGGATACCTGGGTTCTGAGTGCTTTAAGAGGCTCTGGAAAAAGCGGCCACTCCTGGCTGGGGAGCCCTATAGACAGGCAGGCTCTAGTTCCGCCCCCTGTGATCCAACAGGGGCCCTAGAGACAGATCAAGTTCTATGGGTTCTAAGCACCGCCTCACCTCCCAGCCCCTTCATCAGGGAAAGTGGGAAGAATGGATAAGCACGGTGAGTGGGCTCAGAGGGCAGAGGCAGGGTAGGCCGAGGACAGGATCTCTTGACTCCAGATTGGACCAATCTGCCCATCACTATGGCAACCCCAGAGAAGTCGAACCTTTTCTCAGTGACCTATCCCTGTGGTTACAAGCTATCTCCTTTCTTGACATCTGTTCCCTCATCTCCACCTGCTCCCGTTTGGACCTTTGCCTTCTTCAGCCTGGACCACTGTAAGGACTCCAAAGTAGGTTTTCTGCCATCCTTTGAGAGGGAACATCCCAAGACACAGCTCAGAACGGGTCTCCATCAGAACTTCAGCGGCTCCTACTGCTGGGAGACAAACTGAATTCCGACTCCCAACTTTCCATTTCCTATACCCTCTCCTCCCGAAGAGCTCCCGGCACCTGCCTCTGGCTGTATGCCTTTCCCACCCACAAAGTTCCTTGATCTGTTTCCTAAATAAAAACACAGCAGGCCCTCTGGGTATCCACCATTAGTGGTGCCAAGAACTGGCAGAATGTTCTATTTTTTTATTTTATTTTATTCTTGGTACCAGGAATCAAACTCAGGACCTTGCACTTGCCAGGCAGGCACTTATGCCACTGAGCTATATCCTTGGCCCTGGAAGAATGTTCAAAAGTACTTCTCTTTTAAGAGTTCAAACATTGTGGATCATCATCAGAGGCCCTTCTATGACCCACTGCATCACCGCCCAGAGAGGGCTGCAGAGAGTAAGGCAAAATGGATGAAGAGAGTTGAGTCCAGTGACTGCATGGTGCCCGGTACACAAGGACTAGAATACCAATTTATAATCATTCCCCTTTTCTCCCCATCTCCAGGTGCTGGGGATTGAATTCTGAGTCTTCACACATTGCCAAGGCTTTTTAAAAAAAAACTGGCACAGGGCCTCACCAAGTGGCTAAACTGCTAAGCTAGGTTCAAACCCTGGATATTACTACCTCAACTTCCGACAGCGCTGGGATTATAAATCTGTGCCACCACACCCAGTTTGCTACCACCTTTTTGTTTCTGGTTTTGGAGATAGGGTCTTGCTATTTAGCCCAGTCTGCCCTTGAATGCCTTGCAATTATCCTGCCTCCACCTCCTGAGCCCTAGGATCACAGCCCTGCACCACCATGTCAGGCTCACCACCAACCTCTTACACAAGATGGACTTCTACAGAAGTGTTCGGTGACCTTTCCAGGGCAAACCCCCGGAGTCATGTTTTCCCTGGACGTCTCCCCCTTTCTAGTATAAATTTAGCATAAGCTCTCCAGATCTGGTAGGAGCTGGGCGCATATGTGCTGACTGGCACATCTTGGAGGAGGCCGGTTTCATTTCCAGGTTAGGCCCGGAGCTTGCAGCCTGCTTGTTTGAAAAGCTGTGAGGTCTATGCACCAGCAGGAGGGGCAGTGGTAGCTGAAATGCACTGGCAGTTGGGTCAAGCCTGGAAGAAAGAAGAACTTCAGGCGGGCGTGTGGTGCACGCCTGTAATCCCAGCACTCGGGATGCTCAGGCAGGAGGATCGCTGTGAGTTCGAGACCAGCCTGGGCTACAAAGTGAGCTCAAGGCTGCCTGAACTACACAGGGAGACCCTGTCTCAAAAAGAAAAAAAAAAAGAACAACCTTTCCCAGCTCACTTGCAGGGCCCTTTTCCTGCTGTCTGCCCATAAAGGTGATTTCTAATCACAGAAAGCCGCTGGATGCCCGTCTGCCTGCCACCCTGCTGCCGCTGATGCTGGGCAAGACCCACCCTGAGGAAGGACATCTTCGAAAACAAGATATAAACAGCCACTATTAAAATGACAGTTAATGTTTAGTTATAGTCTGTTTGGAGATCAGGCAAGCCCTGCCCCATCGGGATTGGCAATCTTCCTGTTTGTTGACTGCCTGCCCCACACCAAGCTGGGGTGGGCGTGAGGGTAGGGGGCTGGGCGCTTGACACTGGAGGTAGGAACTACCTTTTCTCATTCTGTAGATGAGAAAATAGTTTGATTTAGAAGCGAGGAGACGTGTCCGAATCCTTCACTAGGAAGTACAACAGTCTGGGAAACGGGGCGCCCGGAACCGTACGTGCTCAGCATCCTCTGGCGGAGCCTAGCTGGCGCGGGGCATCTCGCACACACTGCGGTCCTGCAGGCACCTGCAGCAGGTAGGATCCCAGGTCCCTGGAGAGCGCACTGACTGTCCTCCCCGCCCGCAGGCGCGAAGACTCCCTTGTGGAAGAAGGAACTGGAGGAGCCCCGGGCCAGGGAGGCGGAGCAGGAGCTAGTGGACGAAGAAGAGCCGGAGGAGGACGAGGACGAGGACGAGGACAGGGAGCGGCTGGCCTCAGAGAGCGCGGCCGGGGGCGAGGAAGCGCCCAGCGCCGAGGGCGAGGATGACGGCCGCGAGCGGGGCTCGGTGTCCTACTGCCCGCTGCGGCAGGAGTCGAGCACCCAGGAGGTGGCGCTGCTGCGGCGCGCGGACCCGGGCTTCTGGGGCTGGTTCAGCCCCTTCGCGCTGCTGAGCGGCTGGGTGGCCGCCGCTGACAGGTGAGGCAAGCGCCGGGCGCGGTGTACCGGGTGCCGAGCCCCAGGACAAGGGTCACTGCGGCACTGAGAGCGCGGGTTCCCGCCCATAGGAACCGCAGCCCCCCTGAGGAGCGGTGCGTGCTGGAGACGCGGCATCTGCGGCCGAGCCGCGGGGGCTGTGCGCGCTGCGAGGTCCTCTTCTGCAAGAAATGCAGCACCCTGCACAGCCACCCGGCCTACGTGGCACACTGCGTTCTGGAGCACCCGGATCTGGGTAGGGCAGAGGCCGCCGGAGGCTCTGAGCTCCCCGACTCCCAGCCTTTGTGTCTTCCACCCTTGCCTGACGCCTCCACCAGGGGAGAAGCCCCCTGTTAGTGCGGGGTTCCCACCTGTCATCTAGCGGGCTTCAGCCATGCCGAGCCCGGGATAACCAGGCGCGCGCGACACCCGCAGCACCCTGCACCTACCTATAGCCCACCCGACCCTCGTCTCCGATGCAGCCGTACGCATATCTCGAAGATGGACAGAAGCAGCGTTTCAGGGATTCCCTCATCCCACTGAGCAGCTGTCCCCTCCCCTCGGGGCATTCAATAAAGCCTCTCATCAAAGTGTCGGTGCCTTGAGGGGAGGTCAGGCGGCTCCAGGTGGGAGTGATGAAGACTGCGCTCCTGGGGCTGGGGATTTAGCTCAGCGGCAAAAGCGCCTGCCTGGTAAGCGCGAGGTAGTGAGTTCAGTTCCCGGTACCGGAGAAAAACCGGGGGGGAAAAAAAAAAAAAAAAAAAAAAGACTGCGCTCCTCTGCCCCGGGGTCAAGTCAGAGAGAAAAGGGCGGGCAGCGAGCCTCTTCCCTCACCTCCCCAGCACAAAGCACTTGCTCTAAGTGAGCACGGAGAAGGCGAGGCAACGCCAGGCCAGCAATGTCCCTGGGGGACCGAGGCGGGGGTGGAACCCTGCCAGACCCGATTCCCCTCGAAGGAAGCGGCCAGCTGAGCGCCTAGGAGGCAAAGGCAGGTGTGTGTCGGGGAGGGCAGGGAGAGCTGAGGCACAAGACCGGGAGGCTGCGGAGCCCGTTCCTTCTCCAGGAATCCCAGCTATTCTTGGCCAGACAGCGGGAGTTTCGGGAATGCTGTGTGTGTGGTCTGCAGAATGGGGCTATTGTAAGCACCAGGCATCCCCCCAACCTGCTAGCCTTGTGGAGGCTGCGGCAGCAGTACAGACCCCCAGGAGGGCTTCTGACCACTCCTTGCTGCCCTGGACTCGCCATCTGGCATGGGTGGGGGAGAGAAGGGGGGGAGGACATTTTGCTTTTTGGGGGAGGCAGGCTTTCTCTCCCGCCACAGCTACACACAGCTGGCCAGCGCTGGCTTGGACGGAAGACCGGGACCCCTGCCTCTCCACGGCCATGCCCACCTGCCCTCACCAGAAAGGGTGGAGAACTGGCACAAGAAAGCTGCTTGCTGTTTCCGGGCCCACCAGCGGGGGGCGCCTCGTCATTCTTCCCCAGACAAAAAGCCAGATCCTAGGAGGTCCACCCCAGTCAGCCTCCTGCTCTGCCTCCTAGCCCCTCAAGGGTCTCTGATGTTGGAGGCAACTTGCGCCTTCACCCCAAACAAGCTTCCTGGGGGTGAGGGCTCTGATTATATAGCACACAATTCTCTTAAGAACTGAGCCAGGAGGCTCTAAGAGATTCGGACTGTCTTGCAAAATAGTCTCCAAGCTTTCAGTTGAGTTTTGCATTCTCCCCGGTTGGACCCCAGCACCATCAACTCACCGACAGAACTACATTTTTGTCAGAAGACACAAAATCCCCAGGGCTTGGGAAGGAAAGCAGCCCTTGGGGGAAAGGGCCGAGGATTTGGGACCTTTTGTTGCTTTTCTTTGGATTGATCCACACCCATGTCCATGTAGCGCGAACAGCACAAAGAGAACCCTGCCTTCTCGGGAAACAAGTGCAGACACTTACAAGCTTCCTGGTGGCAACTTTGCTGCCTGCTCTTCTGCAGCGGGGCTTCTAAGACAGGCTTTGCCCCTGGGGCAGGAGAGGTGAATTGGCCCAAGAGCACCAACATTCACTAGGTGGTGGTGGGGTCTTCAGAACAGGGCACCTCCCGAGTTGGCAAGCCAGCAGCCCATCCAGGGCAGCTCGGTGGCCCAGCGGCCCGAGGTGGTCACTCGCAGTTTGGTGTGGTCAAGGTGCCAGTAGTGGTCATCTCTGAAGAAGACGATGGAGCCATCAGGTCTCGGCAGAGCGCCACTGACCTCCTCAGGAACACTGTCCCAGTCCCGCAGCGAGCGGGGGTAGTAGGGCTCCACCTGCAGCCCCCCGCGGGCCAGCACATAGTATCGGGCACCCTTGAAGAGGATCAGGCGTTGTAGAGGAGGGAAGAAGAGGGCTGCATCCGGGTGGCGGGGAAGACCCCCTGCCCGGCACAGCTGGGAGGAGCCCCACGCTGACTTGGCACCTCGGAACCTCCAGCATCGACTCCCTGCCGGGCATCAAGAGAGTCAGGATGAGTTGGAGGCTTGCACCGATTGTTCCTCCACCCGCCTCTGTCCCCCATCCAACCCTGAACCCTCTCAAGTTGGAGACCAATGTTGATAGTACTGGAGACAAAGTGAATTCCTCTGAGAATTAACTGTAGTTACAGGAGACGGACCATTATAGCCTAGACCTCCAGCAGGAGTCAGCAGAGGGCAGATAGTCCTCAGCGAACCTAACCATCCCAGGCTTCAGGGTCTGGGTCAGGGAGTGGAGGAGGGCAGGGACCTCTCCTTGGGTGAGGAATGGAAAGTTAAGAAGGCCTGGAGCTTTGTTCACTACCATTACTACTACTAATTTTATGAAGGCAGGGATTTTTGTCCTATTCACTGCTCTATGCCCAACACTGATGTCGAATGTATAGAAGCCACTCCATATTGGTTGAATGAATGAAGAAATGAATACTAGTAATCTATCCAGTGTAATAATATACTGTACACTTTTCTGTTCTTTCTTTTCTTTCTTCTTTCTTTCTTTCTTTCTTTCTTTCTGGGCAGGGCCTTTATAGTGAGCTATAGCCCCAGCTATAGCCCCATTTTTATTTTTTATTTTTGAAAGAAGGTCTCACTAAATCACTCAGTTGCCCAGGCTGGGATCCAACTTGTGATCCTCCTGCTTACGTCTCTCAGAATGCTGGGATCACAGAAGTATGCCATCTCCAACTGCTTATGTATGATCCTTTATCTTCCTTCCACAAAAAAACAAAACAACAACAACAAAAATCCCTGAGGTATTATTTCCCTTATCTGAGCAATGCAAGCTCCAAAAGGTAAGTGACAGCACAACCAGAATCCACGGCAGACACTGCTCTTCCTGCTGAACTGAAGATGTCAAATGCAGTCCTCTGCTTCCTCGGCTCTTCTCTGAAACACTCCCCAGAACCACCTTGACACTTGCTACTCCCCATTCCATCCCTCACAAGGGTCTCCTGACAGAGTCTTGCCTGCGTCCCAGATCCAATTTGGATCAGAGATCCAGCCAGGGACACACTGTATGAGATTCCGCCCCTCTTTTGGCCTTGGGCAGGCCTCTTCCCCTATCCAGGCCAAAATTTTCTCAGCACCCCCCGCCTGGTACCTTTGAAGAAGTAGAAGTCTCCATCATCCATTGTCACTGCAGCAGCCTCAATGTTGGGGGGCAGCCCTGGCCACCTTTCCTGCAGCAGGCGGGGCTCTGAGACATTGCCATCAGGGGCCACCTCCCAGAAGTGGCTCCCTTCAAAGATGTACAGTCGCTGTTGCCCGTCTGCTCAGATACAAGAGAGACTTGAGGAATGACTGTAGGCCTCCTGCCCTCTTTCCAGCAAGGCGCTGTCCTAGAACCCAGCTTCCTGAACCAACAGGTGTGACAAGCACAGGTGGGGCAGAGGGGAAGCAGGCAGGAGGAAGCAGCACCTCCAGGCCTGGTGTGAGCTTGCCACCCTGCAGACTGCATGCGGCATGGGCATTCTTGATTCTGTAATCCCTCCTTCCATCTGTACTCCAGCTCTGGGGGTCTCAGGAGGTGCAGCGGCAGGGAGAGGCGGGAGAAGAGAAGAAAGAAGCCAGGCACAGGTGGGCCCACCTTACCTACAGTGATGGCATCGAAGGAAGAATGGCAGTATTTAGGACCCCGGGTTTCGGGGCGCCTGCCTTGGGAGTTGTGGGGGTTCCAGGCCTCGAAGTCAGTGAACAGCTTTCCTGGGAGCTGGGTACCCACTGAGCCCCCGAGGGGCTTTCCTTTAAGGGCAAAGAGAGAAGAGGGAAAGAACAGACATGCAGTGCGATATGTCGAGGGTTCAAGACCTCCCCTTGGTTCCTTTCACAAACACCTCATGCGAGACACAGGGAGGGAGAGAGTGGAGGGTAAGAGCTGCTCCAGGTGCTGTTTTCCAAGCCCAAGAATCTTATTTCTCACCCAGTACCCTGGGAAAGAAGGACCTACTGAGATACAGTTGGAAGGAGGGACCGAACAAGGATTTGGAGCTAAGAAGGATAGGGCCCTTTTCCCCTAATCCTGGGCAATAGGGGACACGAGGGCAGGGTTCGGGGCCCCAGGCTGTGATAACTACAGCAATTATGATTGCATCACAAGCCTTAGGAGAGGAGTGAGGCACAGTCCAAGCTTAAAATTTGGCACTAGCTTCTGAATCCTGGTTTGCAACTTCCTAGCTATGTGACTTCAGGCAAGTTACTTAATCTCTATAATCCCATTCTCTTGGTCTGTGGACAAAAGATACCTCAGGAGCACATTGTATTTTAAATACTTGGCCTGTGGAACAGACCCCTGAGATAGCAGCTATCACTGTTGCATTGTGTAGGTTTTCCAGCCTACAAAGAATGCTTGTTCCCTTCTCACAGAAGATAAAGATGAGATTTCTCAGAGGGGAAATGCTTTGCTCAAGAGCATCTGCTAATGAGGGGTGGAAGGTGATTTGAACCCAGGCACTATCCCCAGAGTTGCAGGGTTAGCAGGTCCCCAGGCAGCAGCACTGGTGCAGGACTGGTCCTGCCTGCTCTGGGGGAAGCAGCTTGTCTGTATCCACCTCCTGAGGCCCGGATGTGGGGACACAGGTGTCTGCCTCGTGTTGAGTGAAAGGCCAGCAGACAGCAAGTGGGGCTCGAGGTAGGGACCAGAGCTTTGGGGTCTTGGATGGGGGGCGGGCAGGCAGACTGGGTTGGGTCTAGGTAACCCACAGGGATGTGACAGGAACAGCTGCTGCCATGGCCCAGGGTTGGGCAGGAATTCCGGAAGTGAAAGGGAAGGGAAGGGGTATGGGGAGCTGCATATGGGAATTGTCTGGGACTGATGGAAGGATGGGGGCCATGGTGTGGGTGGGGTGGGGCAGCACCTGAGCCTGAGGATTTTCAGCTTTAGGATTGGCAAGGGAGGCCGGGTGACAGGGAAGCTCCAGATGACAGGGGCCCGGGATGGGACTCCTACTTGAGGAGCCAGTGTCCCAGCCCTGGAGGCCCAAGGGACAGGACTCTGCTCGGGGGCTCACCATACAGGTTCTGCACGGCCAGCACGTCGTCCCAGCTGAGCAGCGCATCGCGGCCCAGCCTCTTGTAGTAGGGTGCCATGAGCGCGCGCGGCGCGGGTGAGTGCGCGAGGCCGAGCGTGTGGCCGATCTCGTGCGCCAAGACCACGAAGAGGTTGCGCCCGCGGCGGCGGCTCAGGGACCAGCGCTCGTCTAGGTCGAAGTGCGCCTCGCCCCGGCGCGGCAGAAAGGCGTGCGCTAAGGCGCCCCCTGCAGGCGGTGCAGAGGGTCAGAGCATGAATCAGCCTGAGATTCCCTCCCACGCCCGCACCCAGGGAAATGCTGCTGGCAGGGTGGGTGGCTGTTTTCTTTCTTTCTTTTTTGGTGGGGTGGCTGTTTTCTGCTGCATAATTTCTCTCCAAGTCAAGTCTGGGAGAAGCAGAAGTCTGGAGAGGTGAGATGATTAAGCTCTAAGGCACGGACTCCTAAGAGGCAGCATGGTGTAGAATCAGTGTGGGCTGAACTGCCTGGGCTCCAATACTAGTTTCACTGTGCTAGTGTTGTGACGTTAATAAGCTGTGTAACAATGATTTGTTTTTGTTTTGTTTGGTACTAGGAATTGAACTCAGGACCTTGCACTTGCCAGGCAGGTGCTGTGCTGCTGAGCTATATTCCCAGCCCTGGTTTTGTTTCCTTTTGTTTGTTTCGAGACAAAGTCTTGCTATGTAGCCTAGGTTGGACTCAAACTCACAATCCTCCTGCCTCAGCCTCTTGGGTGCTGGGATTAGTGGCTAGTGCCACCATGCCTGCTGTTTTCAAAAAGGCCTAGAAGAAGGGATAGTGGTTATCCTTAGAAGAGGCATATAGGCTTTCTGTGCTGTATTTTGGTCTGGGTTCCTCACGTTCTGGGTGTGGGAAAGGCCGCCAATCTGTACGCTGAGATGTGCACATGTATTTTCTGCGTATACCTGTTCTTCCCTCTGTCTGCCAGGGCTCCTCTGTGGGCCACAGGAATGACCAGAGGGAGTTGAGGGTGGATCAGTGATTCTCACACTTTCACTGGGGCCCAAATGCCGCTTATTAAATATATAGTTCCCCCAAATAAATAAGTAAATGATTGAGTAAATAAAGAAGTAAGTAGGCAGTTTCCAAGGCCTCATCCTGCACAGGTCACTTCCGCAGGGGCGGCTGACTCCGACACGGGGTCAGCAAACTGTTCTGCCATAGCGTTGGCCTAGAAGCTTGCGGAGGGTCCTTCTGGGTTTGGCTTCTTGGAGCCCAGGCCACCTGGGGTAGACAGAGGCGGGGCAGCTGGTATTAAAGGGAGACCCTGCTGGGGGCAGGAAGGGCCAGCCAGGTGCTTCCCAGCTGAGAATAAGTTGACGTGTGGCAGTTACTGGTCACTGCGTGTGGCCCTCACGTGGCGATAAAAGGGCAGATTTCAGGGAGGAGAAGACCAAACTCAGAAAGACAAAGCATCTTCCCACGTGAGAGAGCTGCTTGAGGAGCCCAATATGCTGTCCTAGGTACTGGACTCTTCATGGGCAGAGAAGTAAACATGTAACACAGGTGTCACGGGACATGGGCTTCGTGTGAGTGTGTGTGTACGCTCCATGCAGTTGCTGGCAAAGCCTCTCCTTCTCCCTGACCCAGCTTGGCGGCAGGCTCTGCTGTAGGTGGGCTTGATGGAAAGCAGGACGGCGCCAGGGAGGAGGGGGACAGAGTTCCCGGCCCACAGAGCTTCAGCCCCGCCACCCTGAAGCTGTCCAAGCAGGTTTCTCACTGGGAGGGAGATGTGCAGAGGGCCCACACTGAGGTCCTAAAGGCCAGCATCAGGCAGAATGGAAGAGAGCAGTTTCCACTGCAGCCAGAAGCCTTCCGGCTGGGGTCAAATGGAACCAGCTGTGGCTGCGGGTATGTGAAGCCCCCTGTGGCTGGTGGGGGTAGAACATCTCTGGCTCTGTAGCAGTGACTGGTAGTCAGCTGGGGGTTACAGTGGCCACTGGATTTTCTTAAGGTCTGGAGAACAAGAGAAGCTCAGGCCTGTCTAGGGTCAGCGGGAGGGTGATGGGCCTCAGAAGAGTCTCCCAGAATATATTACTCTAGAATTTGCAAAGCACTTTCCAAGCAGAACTTCATGGGACCGTCCTTTCAGACATGTGGTACATAATAGGGCAGGGACCACTGTTCCATTTTACAGACGAGAACACTGAGGGTTCTTGGGAGGGGCACAGAGCTTGGCGTTGGCCATAGGGAGAGTGGATGCTCTACTGTCACCCCAGACTGCCTCTCCTAGTTGGGTTCCCCTCCTGCCACGTGGAGACGCCTCTGTGTCAGCACCTGGACCGTCGAAGGCATTGCTCAGCCCGTCGTTGTGGTCTCCTTGGAAGAAAGTGAGGCGGATGTCTGCGGGGGCTGTGGCTGGAGCCTCCCAGAACTCCAGGGCCGAGACGTTGCTCCACAGCTGGAAGGCAGCACGCACGGCGCCCCGGACTGCCGGCTCGGGCAGGCGCTCAGGCCAGTTCACCAGGCGGTAGGAGAGGTGCTGTTTGTACCACTTGTTGCCTGCCATCCAGAAAGGCCACTTCAGTCACCCCTGGTCCCCATGGGCCCTGTATGATACAGGATAGGCCCTCCCTTAGGGAATTCTTGACCTCATGGGAAAAAAGCCCCTGCCCTGAGCAGCCCATATCTGACTGGGAGATCCCATCCCTGCTGAGGGAACAAGAGGCTTGCCCTTGTCCTGGAGAGTTGCCAGCCTAGTGGCTTAGCCTGGGGATGGAAGAGATGTAGCCTCGGTCCAGTACAAGTCCCTACCTGAAGGAGTCTGAACCCCTGGTCTGGGGCCTTATTCTTCTCCACAGCCTGCACTGAGCCTGAAAAAGCTGTGTGCCTCTTGCTGGCAGCAAATCCCAGCCCCTGCGCGCACGCCCTCACCACACTCTCCACCCTCACACCCTCCCGCCACCCCCCAGGGGCTCCCCCCTGCCCCTTCCAGTGCCGTGGCCTGCAGCTGACCGACCACCCTAAGACCCACATTCGAGGTCCTTCCCTGCCCCCAGGCCTTTCTCCTCGCTTCCTCGGGGACTCTGCAGAGCTCGGAGGTGAAAACAAATCAGAACAAAGGGTGTGTTTTGTCACTGACCCAGGGAAAGTTTTCCATCCCTGCTTAGTTACACGTTTCTCTCCCTTTGCCCCAAACCTCGGTTCCTCCCTGAGGGCTGGGCCTCTGTCCTCCGCCCCGGCCTCAAGTCCACTGCCACTGCGCGCCCACACCCGGGAGCAGCGGGGCGAGCAGCCCAGCTCTGGAGTTCCTCTTGGGCTCTTTCTGCGTCCTCCAAACTGACAGCTGAGACTGTGATGCCAGGGGGAAGACTTGAAGCTTGGAGGCAGGACGTCTGGGCCCAGGGTCGGGTAACTGAGACCCAGGGACAGGGGCCTGTCCACAGTCACAGTGAGAGAGTAGCTGAGCTGGACCCTGACCCCTGGCCCAGTGCTCTTTCCCTTGTACCACACAGAGAAGCAGGCACACTTGCTAAGACGCCAGGCTTACAGACCCGGGCAGACAGCACTCCCTTGGGTCCAAGTAGCGACTCTGCAACGGCTGAGACAATCCAGATAGCAGGGAAGGTCTCAGGGAGCAGAGGAGCTGGGCTCGCCTGCCTGGCCACCCATGGGAGTGGGGGAGGGGCGTGTCCCTTCTCCTACCCCTGAGCCAAGCTCCATTCAAGGCAATGCTGCTGTTTGGCCTGGCAGCCACCCAAACCCTGCCTCCCAGCCAGGGACCAACCCTGGGGCTGGGAAGGGAGAGAGATTCTGAGAAAGGGAGAGGGAAGGCTGGGGGTCCAGAGGTACAGCTGAGGGTTCTTTATGTACCAGAAGTACTCTGCTCATTACTGTAAAGTCTTCACTGGCCCCAGACTGGCCAGCGCGTGACTTTTTCACACCCTGTGAGGGGTGGCTGACTCCCAGGCTCTCCCCGCGACAAACATGTAATTCTCTAGCAAGTGTGACTTGACTTCTACTCTTGGGTAACGGAGGGGGACCCTCACCTGATGGATAAGAAAGGAGAAAGGTAGGCAATTCTTTCATTTTAGGTAGTAAGTGAAGATGACTGGCCTCAGGCCGGGAGTGGTGGTGCATCCCTGTAATCCCAGCACTTGGGAAGCTGAGGCAGGAGGATTGCTGTGAGTTGGAGGCCAGCCTGGGCTACATAGTGAGTTCAAAGCTGGCCTGAACTGCATAATGAGCCCCTGTCTCAAAAAAAAAAAAAAAAAAATAGACAACTGGTCTCAGGATAAAAATCCTCTGCAAAACCAGTATATGTGTGTATGGCTGTGTGTGGCTGTGTGCGCTGGTGTGAGTGTGTGTGTTTGTGCTGGGGGGAAGGACGGGTTGAATAGGAACAGGAACTGAGAGAAAATGACTGCTTTCCTTCGGAAAAGGGCAGGGTCGGGGGTCACGGGTGCACCTGCCAGGAAGGAAGGAACTGGTGGGGGGCAGCAGCCCTCTCTCTGTCCTCCAGACTGGCTCCCATCCTAGATTCCTGGCCGGGCAAGGCTGGTTTTTATGGCAACCCGCAGGTGCCAGGAGTGCCTGGCACTGCACCTCCTACACCCTTGTTCCAAAGTCCTGAAGGGAAGAGGGCAGGAAAAGGAGCTGGGGAGGGAGGGGAGCTGGAGTCTCTGCCTGCGAAGGACCCTAGAACCCTGACTCCCAGCAGGCAACATGCTGGAGAAAGAATATGGATTGGAATCCCAAGACCTCCACTTGCAAACTTACACAAATTATGGAAGCACACCAAGCCTCAGTTTCTCTTCTTGCAAAGTGGAGTTAATAAGACTTACCTCACAATAAGGTGTGAGGCTTAACTACAACAGCAGCGCAAAGCTGCATGACATGTGGGTACTCGTAAATATCTGTTCTCTTCTCTTTCCATTTCCACCCTAGATACACCCCTTTGCCCCCGTTACTCTCCAGCTTAGCCTAGGCTGGCCTTGAACTCTCAATGATCCTCCTGCCTCAGCCTCTCAAGTGCTGGGATTACAGGCATGTGCTACCAGGCCTGGCAACAAACACATTTGCATTCAAAAAATATAAATACCATTTTTTGTTGTTCATCTTCAATTCAGATCTAACTGGGCATCCTGTATTTTATCTGGCAACCAAGTGTCCATGTCCTCTGTCCAAAAAGGCTAGTGACAAATGCACTCCTTTAAATCCCTCCTGGGGACCTGGGGAAGGGAGAGAGCCCGGGGAAGCATCCCTGGGACTCAGGCCCCAAAAGTAGCTGCCCAGACTCTGCATGGGGCTGCCCCATTTCCCACTGCCTCGCACAACCAGCCCTTGCACTGGGTAATCAGGGACACACTCTCCTATGCAACCTTCGAAGCCCTGCACCTCAGACGTAGGAGGATGAAGGAATGGAGCCTCAGTGAGTGAAGTGACATGGCTGAGATCACACGGCTGAAACCTGAACCCAGGGCCTCCTGCTCCAAGGACCAAGTTCTCACTGTTCTACTGGTGCCTCCTGAGCTCAAACCTCTCCACTGCTACCTCACCCTTCCCCTCTACTTCCCAGAAACACAGTGGGAGGCAGGACATGTTGACAACAAGGACATCGTGAGCTCGTCAAGTCAGAGCCTGGACGCCATCACCGACTCCACGCTTTACTCTGTGCCTTTGGTCCTTTTCCTAATGAAGGTTACTGGTAAAAGTAGTTAACGATTAAGAGTGCCAGGGCCCAAAGTGCTCACAGTAAAATTAATTATAGATGAAAACCTGACTGAAAAAAAAAAAAAAAAACTCATCTTGCTAGCAATCTTGAAAACTGCAAAAATTGATCCAAAAAAATAAGACTTAGAGCAATTGTAATGCTAGAACTACCCGTGGTACAATTGGGTATTTGTGAAAAATTGATGGAAGAAGCAAATCTTCATAAATTTTAGATCTGGCCAGGTGTGGTGGCACACGCCTGTGATCCCAGCACTCAGGAGGCTGAGGCAGGAGCATTGTTGTGAGTTCGAGACCAGGCTGGGCTACAAAGTGAGCTCAAGGCCAGCCTGAACTGCATAGTGAGACCCTGTCTCAAAAAGACAAAAAAAAAAACAAAACAAAACAAACAAACAAAAAAAAAACAACAACAAAAAAGAAGAACTTAGACCTGCTCCATTTCACCCTATAATATTTTGGTTCATGAGAAAATAAAGATGAGGAGGACTGTGGGCAGAGCTCAGCGGCACAGCCTCCGGCCCTGGGTTAGATCCACAGTACTATAAGACAAACCAACAAAAAGACAAAGGAAGAAGAAAAAATGAAATAAAGCCACAAAAGGAAAAATCACAACAATGGAAACCGTAACATATAAAATGTGTTACGATGAAATGCTCAAAATAGGCAAGCCCTCCGAGACAGGAAGTAGGTTAGTGGTTGCCAGGGGGAAATGGGGAATAACCGCTAATGGACATGGGATTCCTTTTGAGAGGAATGAAAATGTTCTGGAATTAGATTGTGGCAATGGTTGCACAATCTGCAAATGCACTAAAAACCACTGGGTTGGATACTTTTCAAGGGGTCAATTGCATGGTATGTGCCTTCTATCTCAAAGCTGTTAAAATGTTCTATGAACAAAATAAAAACGATTAACCAACCCCATCTTTGTTGAGTAACTGTTATAAAAATAATTGACTCTGGCGAAAATAACTTCAGTAAAATATAAATCAATAGTGTTAGCAACAATTTAATTGCCCTGCATAGAAAATTGATCCAGGAATTAAGTGGGTCTGATCTGGAAAACACTTGTACAATGAAAATTCCTCAGCGTAAGTACACTGCGATTTAAACGTCTGTGTTCGCAATCACGGTCCTTGAGTCAAGAGGTCCTACTGGCCCACCCTTCCCCTGCCTGGGGAAGAGAGGTTACTGATCAAGCCCAGTCCCAGACTGAGCTGCTTTCCTGGCCATAGGTCTGAGGGTATTGGGGAACCCCAGCCTAGCTGGGTTTTAGCAGTGCTCACCTTGCTTGGCAAAGCGTTTCTTGCGCCTCATTTTGGCCCGGCGTCCAGCGAACAGGGCACTGACCCGCTCCGTCCAGGTTGCATGACTGTTGGTGTCTGCGACCCCACAGCGGGGTCGTGTCATCTGACGCAGGGTGGCACGGTCTAGTACACCACTGACGGGCAGCTGAGATACCCACTGGAACTCTCTGCCAGGAGGAACAGAGATAAAGGACCAAAAAGGAGGCATGGTAGTAGCATGAGGACTGCCTTCCTGGGACATGGCCACCTGTAGCCTTCCAGGAGAAGGGACATGGAGCTTTGTACCCTGCACCCTCACATTCTCCACTTCCCTCCATCCTACCTGATGGCATTGCTGAATCGAGTGGAGGTGGGAGCTTTGGAGGCCTGTTCATTGAGGTATCCATACTTCTCCAGGAATGCCTGGGGGAGAGAGGAACAATAGCTTTTCCTACCATGTGGCATCATTTCCCCTTCTCCTGGCATCCAAGAGTCCACAGCACATGCATCCCACTCAGTCTCACCTCTTATCCCAGAATGGTCTGCAAACTCTAGCAGAAAGAGTTCTGGAATTAAAGTCAAAAGAACCTGGACGCAATTTCAGGCTACCATTGACTAGCTCAACGGTCTCAGGCAAGTCATTCAATATTTCTGAATATTTGGCTTTCTTACCAACTTATGGCATTGCTAGAAACCTAGCAAAGCACATTGGGCAGTTTTATGGGCTCTGGAGTCAGGCTGGCCTTGGTTTGCATTCCAGATGGTGTGTCACTTCTCTGTAATAGTACTTACTCTACAGGGGTTTCTTCTGTGGGCAGATCACAATACCACTTATAAAGCACTTGACCCAGGGCCTGTCACATTGGAAGGACCAGAAAGAGTAGCTATTATGTGTGCTATGTAGACACAACAATGGTATCTACCAATTTGCTCCAAAACATCCAAGCTTTCTAGGCAATGTTCAGGTATTGGTCAGGATGGCTCAGGTGCTGGCTCTGCCATGCCAGCCTTGAGAACTCTCTCTTTAACTCCTAAATAATTCTCATCCCAGATGCAGACATATTTAAGGCCCTATGACAATAAATACATTTACCCTCAATCTTACAATTGATATAAAAACTTGGCCTTCTGAAGATGTATACTTTGAATTAGAAACACCCAACTTTCTTCTTTGATTTGTTTGTTAATTCATGTGATGTGCTAGGTACACTGTTAGATGCAGTCGTAATTAAGACATCTCAAGAGGAGCTTATTCACTAGTGGTTAGAGACAGACCAAGGAAAAGGTAAATAAATAGAAGAGGTAAATTGGTGCTATATAAAAAAAGAAAAAAGAAACCACATGATATGATTGAGAATAATTTTTTTTTTTGAGACAGGGTCTTGCTATATAAGTCAGGCTGGCCTCAAACTCGAGGCAATCTTCCTGCCTCAGCCTCTGGAGATTGAGAACTTTTTTTTTTTGGTACTAGGAATTGAACTCAGGACCTTGCACTTGCCAGGCAGGCGCTTGTGCCACTGAGCTATATTCCCAGCCCATTGACAATAATTTAGAGAGAAACTTTATAAGCAACAAAATGAAGAAGGACCTCATAGGCATGATGGTGTTTGCCTGTTTTCTAGCTACTTGGGAGGCTGAGACCAGAGCATTGCAAGTTTAAGGCCATTGTGTGAGACCCTGTCTCAAAATAAAAAATAAAAAATAAAAAGGGTTGGGGATGCAGTGATAGTGCTTGCCTAGCATGTGCCAGGTCCTGAGTTCAATCCCCTGCAACCACCCCCCACACCCTCCTGAGAAGCAAATATCTGATACGTATCCTAAAGAACGAGAGGCAGCCAGCCATGCAGATGCAAACACGAAAAGCCCTGAGCTGGGCATGACGTTGACCTGTCTACAGAGCAGAAGCAAACATGTTCAGTGTGAAGAAGCAGGATATGACATGGGCAGAGAGGCAGAGCTGCGGGCCGGGGTGAGAAGTGCAGCCTTATTTTATTTAATCTTGCTGGTGGATTAATTGTGGGGAATGAACGAGCGAGAGGAATCCGGGATGGCACTTAAGATTTTGGCTTGGAAGGTGGGGCCATGTATTGTCTGAGGGCACCTGAGAGAGGAACAGATCAGGGCAGGTGAGTGATTAACGCGGGGAGGTCAGAGTCGCACTGGCTGTACGATCCCAGACCTCAGTGAAGCAGCAGAGCCTTCCTGCTTGAAAATGATGTAAAGCTGTACACCTGGGTGAGATCCTCTGGGGAAATTAGGATCTTCAGAGGCTGTCCCATGGTCCCAGGGCCTTTTATTCCCCGCCCACCCTCACATGCCTGAAAGCTGCTTTCCCAGAGACCAAGTTCTTTGAGTCCAGTGGAGAGAAGTGTGTGACCCGCTCTCCTCACCTATCACCACTCCTACCCTCTGGGGAGATGATGTACTTGGCCCTCTGCTTGCCTGACTCACTAATAGAGCCCCATAAATGTCACCATGGGTAAAAATAAATAAATAAATAAATAAATAAATAAACCAGTCACCTAAGCTGCTTAGTTCCCATACAGACATACCGAGTCTTAATTTTCACTTTTATATGTTATTAAACAGATAATAATTTTCTGTCTTCCTCTTTTTTCCTTTTTTTTTTTTTTTTTTTTTTTTTTTTTTTTTTTTTTTTGGTTTTTTTCCTGTACCAGGAATCAAACTCACAACCTTGTGCTTGCTTGCCAGGCAGGCGCTGTGCCACTGAGCTAAATCCCCAGCCCCTTCCTTGTTCTCTTACCCTCATGTTCCTTTGCTGTATTTTCTTTTCTTTTTTTTTTTTGGCAGGGGGACAGGGTCTGGCTATGTAGTGAGGGCTGACCTTGAACTCCCTATGAAGCCCAGGCTGGCCTCAAACTCACAGTGGTCCTCCTGCCTCAGCCTCCCAAGTGCTAGGATTACAAGTGTGTGCCACCACACCTGGCCTTTGCTGTATTTCTTAAAACAAGGTAAATTCAATTGTTGCCATTGCCTTGAGGAAAAGACATAGCTGGAAGTGAGGCAAGACTCCAAGAGCCAAGATTGGCAAGCCCCTAAGTCTTTGTAAGTGTCTAGACTCCTCTGTGGATTTCATTTACAGCTGTCTTCAGCCACCCGTACCAAAGGCCACTTTTGCAAACTAAAGCCAGAAGGAATTCTCATTTTAGACAACAGAACACTTTCTGTATTGATCTCTGAGCATTTCAGCACAATTGTTTTTCTTTCCCTTTTTTTTGTCTTTTTGAGACAGGGTCTCACTATGCAGTTCAGGCTGGCCTTGAGCTCATTTTGTAGCCCACACTGGTCTCAAACTCATAGTGATCCTCCTGTCTCAGCCTCCCCAGTGCTAGGATTACAGGTGTGCACCACCACATTTAGCAAAACTATTCTTTTTTTTTTTTTGTCCTGGAAATTGAACTCAGGACCTTGCACTTGCCAGGTAGGCGCTTGTGCTGCTGAGCTAAATCCCCAACCCTTTCTTTCCCTTTTTTATTGTTGGTGATTTTCAGCTGCATAATAGATTAAAGGGGTTCTACTGGCTTATTCAGGAAAATAATTTACTGCTCCAAATAATGTGGCAGCAGAGCACGCTTGAGTTTGAAAATCTGTTCCTGATCCCAACTCCGGTAGGTGGGTGGGGACAAATTATTTGAAGTTCTATGAGCTGCCGTTGCTTTGCCTACAATGTGAGAAGATGAACCCCACAGTATCCCCAGAACTAAATAGAACTAGCATAGAGTCTGATGCATAGTAAATGCACCATAAACTGTTGAGCTAGTTCATTCACCTAAGAGAGAACATTAAGATAGGCTTCTGGAACGCAGCTTGCCTGTAATGTGGGGACTGCTCTCAACAAGGCACTTACGCCTGTTCTCAGTTCAGGGGCTTCTGATGCATATCTGTGTTACCTCTGCCAGGTGCCTGTTCTCTTCCCCGCCCCGCTCCCCTCAGGAGGATGGCTAGAAGCCTTTCTAAGGGAAGCCGGGACGTAGCAACTCCTTACAAGCAGTGTTGCTGAGTGAGTTGGGAGAGAGCAGGTCACAGGTTCACCTGGCAGGCACTCCCTTGTTCCTCTCTTCACAAACCCGCCCAGGCCTTATCAGGGAGTTGGCTCGAGTTCTGGAACTATGCAGCCTTGGGGAGGGACAGAGTGGGAGGGAGGGGAAGTTGTCTGGCGGCGTCTCCTGTTTCCTGGCTGGGCTGTTGTGCCTGGCACTCTGGAAGGCAAGGTGGGGTGGAGATTGGCTTCAGGGGCCATCAGGGGGCAAGTTCTGAGATCTGGGACCCTGCGGTTGTATGACAGAGTTGAATTCCCAGTAAACAGAATGAGCAGGTGCCCAGGACTCCAGCCAAACAGAGGCACTGAAAGAATGAGAAAAGACCTTCTAAGAATTTGACATTGTATATTTCATAAAAGCAATGAAGTATTTTAATGGGGATTATCAGAATGTGTGGACTCTTAAACTTATTTTATGCTTAACACACATATATTAAAATTTTTTTCAGCTGGGTGTGGTGGTGCACGCTTGTAATCCCAGCACTTGGGAGGCTGAGGCAGGCTGATTGTTGTGAGTTGGAGACCAGCCTGGGCTACGAAGTGAGCTCAAGGCCAGCTTCAACTGCACAGCGAGACCCTGTCTCAAAAAAAAGACAAAAAAAAATTTTTTTTTCAATGACAAACAGAAAGGCTCCCCTTACTAGTAGTGTCTGTGCAGAGTGCTCTAAAGTGCTGTGAAATGGGGGCCACACTGTGTTCCTGAGGGAGGCTGGGCCAGACTCCCTCTGCTCCATGTGCTGTGCCTCAGTTTCCCCCTGTAAGGATGAGAGAAACACCAAGCTCTGTATGCAAGAAGGCAGGAGTGTGGGGCGGAGGGATCCAGGAGAATAAGGCGGAGGGCCAGCCCTCATCCCACAGACGGGCCGCTCCTCCCTTGGGAGAGTCATTTCTCCATGGGCTTCCATTTTGGGGGCTTGTCCTGGGTTACTTAAGGACTCTAAGCTCCACCTGGGGCCCTCCCTGCCCCACAGCATGGAGGGAGTGCCAGGCTGCTCCTCCCTGCTTCAGATTCAAGTGTGATTCTCCCTTCTCTGTTCTCCACTCAGCCTCTCCCCTAGGGAGCCCTGGGCTTGCGCTGAAAGGAGCACAAGCTGGAAGGCTGTGCCCCTTAGCTGACTCACCCCCCTCTGGCCTGAAAGCTGCGCCAGCACGCCTTGCCCACTTGGTTAGGGATGGGGCCATTTCCCTGGCCAGTCACCTCTGAAAAGTCCCTGGGAGGGGCTGTGACTCTGGGCAGAATGCAAATGGTTCCCCCAGGGCCATCCAGCGAGGTGGGACTGGGGCTCTAGGGGTTTAGCTGTCTTTGCCCTGACTTGTCTTCCGAGGGTGTGTAGGGCCCAGCCCATTGAGTGAGCGAGCGAAG